GGATAGAGCGTCGGTCTGCGGACTGAAGGGTCCCAGGTTCGATTCCGGTCAAGGGCATGTACTTGGGTTGCGGGCACATCCTCAGTGGGAGATGTGCAGGAGGCAGCTGATCGATGTTTCTCTCTCATCGATGTTTCTAACTCTCTATCTCTCTCCCTTCCTCTCTGTAAAAAATCAATAAAATATATTAAAAAACAAAAACAAAAACTGCAACACCTGTGAAGCACAAGGAAGTGAAATGCAATAAAATGAGGTGTGCTTGTAATTACAGGACCTCTGCCCAAGGAACTCAGACTGATCCTATATAATAAATGCTAAGTGTCCAGTTGTCCGTTTAACCAATCAAAGTGTAATATGCTAATGATATGCTAAGTTCACTCAACTGCTCACTATGACTTGCACGGACCACCAGGGGGCAGATGCTCTTACCAGTAGGTTAGCTTGCTGCTGGGGTCCAGTCTGATCAGTACTGAGCCAGATAGGCCGGACATGCCCTGGAGCCCTCCCATGGTCCCTCCCCAGCTGGCCAACCTCCCTAGTTCCTCCCCGGCCGCTATCATGCACCGGTGGGGTCCCTCGGCCTGGTCTGCATCTTCTTGCAATCCGGGACCCCTCGGGTGATGTCGGAAAGCTGGTTTCGGCCCGATTCCGCAGGCCAGGCCGAGGGACCCTACTGGTGCATGAATTCGTAGACCTGGTGCAGGCCTCTAGTAGAATTATACTAGTATGATTCTGTGTGGTTAGTTCTCTGACTTCAGTGTCCCTGCCTTGGAGCCTGGGTTCAAATTATGACTGCCCAGCTGGCTGTGTGGCCTTCTACAATTATGCTCCACCTTTCGGTGCCTCCCTCTCCTGTCTGTAAAGCACCTCTGCCCTTAGGACTGACATCTGTGGATCCATCTGTGTAATCCCTGAGATAAAGGCTGTTGAGTTACACATGTCAAAAATCTTAGGGATTTTGGCTTCAGCTGGGGAACCTGGCAGGGAGGTCTTGAGCTTCTGCAACTACCCTGTGCCCTTGAACCCACGGCACTCACTGACCAACCAGGCTGACTTCTGGGGAGACTGCAGGGGCTGGAGGACCAGTGGTTGCAGGTGCTTCGGGTGCTGGGCAGGGGTCTGAGCCCAGAGATATTTTTTTAAATATATTTGTATTGATTTCAGAGAGGAAGGGAGTGGGAGAGAGAGATAGAAACATCAATGATGAGAGAAAATCATTTATTGGCTTTCTCCTGCATGCCCCACACTGGGGATCGAGCTTGCAACTTGGGCATATGCCCTGACTGGGAACTGAACAGTGACCTCCTGGTTCGTAGTTTGACTCTCAACCACTGAGCCACACCAGCCAGGTGTGAGCCCAGGTGCCGGAAGCCGGTCCACCCTTGCTGCTTGACACAGTCGCTGCAGGGAAGAGACATCTGCACAGCTTATGTTTCAAGGGACCTGGCGTATATGGCATATGTTTTTTTACAGAGAGGAAGGGAGAGGGATAGAGAGTTAGAAACATCAATCAGCTGCCTCCTGCACGCCCCCCACTGGGGATGTGCCTGCAACCAAGGTACATGCCCTTGACGGGAATCAAACCTGGGACCCTTTAGCCCGAAGGCCAACGCTCTATCCACTGAGCCAAACTGGTTAGGGCAGCGCTATGTGTTTTAAACAGGACCACCTCCCCAAGAAAGGTTGTTTCCCCAGGTGAGGATTTTTCCCTGGAGTTAGGGATTAACAGGACTAAGGAAGAGAATAAATCAGTAAAACTCCCTAGTGTTACAGAAATACCACGTACTACTTATGAAGAACTTGGACTAAGACTGTTGGCAATAAATTTGGGACTTGTTGGGCCCACATCCCCAGGAGCCTGCCCACCAGGGAAAGCACCAAAGCCTATACCCCTGGAGACCCACCGACACAGGGCAGTCCCAGGGAAGGCAAGCAGCGAGGCTAGGAGGACATAACCTTTACTGGGTAGGATAATCTCCTTCAGTCACTTCCTTGTAGCTTATCAGTAGAGCAGTGACCTTGGAATAGCCCTTATAATGGAACACAGAGATTAACGTAGACAAGATTAAAATCAACAGAACTAGATAGAGACAGGATTTTTGCCAAAGGTCAGATAAGAAACTATGGAAATAAAACAAGGAACTGTAGAAGGTTACCCAAAACATACCATGATGTGATTATAGAGGCATGCATATAGGATCAAATGGTATAAATACAGATGTAACAGGACAATAAAGGGAGAACCTGGCTATGCTGATCAACTGAACGCTGTCTCCGAGTCATTCCTTCTTCGCCGATTCCGTCCACACCTTTGGGAACCCCTGGACCTGCTGGGGCTGGACTCCAACACCCAGGGGTCTTGGTGTCTGGGCACAGGGGGCTGCAGGAGCAGAGGCAGCCACCTCTATGGCAATCCTCTCCCTGCAGTGTCTGGGCTCTGAGCCGGACCCCAAAGGGTCAGGGTGGGACTGAGGACTGGGCCCTTCAGGAGAGGCTTTGGGCGCCTCCTGGGGGGCTTCAGGTGCTTCCCTTGCTCTCTGCAAAAAGGCATTATTTGCTCCTGGACACTTCAGACAAAACAAGCATTGCCTGACCGGTTTGGCTCAGTGGATAGAGCATCGGCCTGTGGACTCGGGGGTCTTGGGTTCGATTTCGGTCAAGGGCATGTGCCTTGGTTGTGGGCACATACCCAGTGGGGAGTGTGAGGGAGGCAGCTGATCGATGTTTCTCTCTCATTGATGTTTCTAACTATCTCTCTCCCTTCTTCTCTGGAGAATCAATAAAATATATTTTAAAAAAATAAAAATAAAACAAGCATGATGCAGCAAAAACTACCAAAGTAACAATCTCAGCCTGTTAACTTGGGTCAGGAACCTCTCTTGCTCACAATCTGCCATAGATCCCCATTGACCCCTCCACAAAGGTGTCCGCTAGGCCACCATGCTCTCTGCTCAGGGCATGGGGGCCTTCTCCTTGCTCTGCCTCAGGGCCTTTGCTTCAGCTATGCCCTCTGCCTGACATTCTCTACCTGGTTCCTGCACTGTCCTCCTTCCAGCCCCTGCTGGAGGGTCATCTGCTCAGTGCCCCCCTCACAAGTCCCAATGTAACTCTCAACCTGCCCCAAACCAGCTACACCCCCACGCCCCCCACCTACACCCAACCCCACAGCATCCTCGGAAGTCCAGCCAGGCTTCTAACTTCCCTGCTGTCCCCGGAGGGATAGCGAGACATTCAATCCTCCTCTGTCTCTTGTGGTGTAGGTTTAGAACTGTCTTTCCCCACTTGTTCTTTTTCTTGATGGTGACTCTCCAAGGAGGCCAGGCACTGTCCAGAGGCTGGCCACAGTTTTCACTCGTGGTGAAGTTGCATTGGCATTGTGGGTCTCGTGTTATCTATTAAGTGGGAGTGAGCTCTAGACTGCGCTGCTGGATACAGCAGCCACTGGCACGTGGGGCTATTTCAACGTACATTATTATATTAACAAAAATAAACTGAGTTTAAAAGTCTGCTTCTTGGCCACACTGGCTAAATTTCCCTGCCCAGGAGCCCATGCGCATTGGGCCTTGCTGGGCATATCAGAGACCCACAGCGCCTGCCACAGTGCGGCTGGGAATGCTCCCCAGGTCAAGGGGATAAAGTCGGCCTGGCCTCTCCATTGGAAAAAATTATTTTTTCCCCTTTGCAACTAAGAAGTAACCTGGGGGGGGGGGGGGAGGGTGATCCATAATAATTTCAAGAGTGTGATTTTTGAGCATCTACCGTATGCAGGCACCACGAGGAGCACAGGAAGAGAATGACTTTTGCCTCCTGGTTGTGGTAGCACAGGAATGGGTTTGTCTGCTCACTCAGGCTGTTGGGCTCCTAGGATTATGAAACCCGACAGGTAGGTCTGGAAGGTTTTCCTTCAACATCTGGGATGGGTGACAGCTGAAGTCACCTCCCTCCCTTACCACACGATTCAATTCAGAACAGCCACCCCCACAACCTCCCAGGTCCTGGCCTTTCTCAGAGGCCCCATCTGCACCCCTCACGCTGTGCGCTCGACATCAGGAACCAGACCAGACACCCCTTGTCTGTTTGCCTGTCTCCATGCTGGTCCCCAAGTTCTGTGAGAGCAGGGACCCTGCCTATTGCGTTGCTCATTTCCCTAAACCCGTTTGCCCCAGACCAGATGTCCATTGTCCTTCTCCTTCTTCGGGGCCGCTGCTCAGGGTCCTGGCCCCCATACCTCCTGTCTCCTGCTCCTGCCTTCTACGCTCCCATGCAGCCAACCTCTGCCTAGAATCTTAGGGTGCGTAGGAGTGGAAGCGCCTGGCATACAGTAGGCATTCAATGAATGTTGGGTTGTATTACTCAACGCCTTGGGCATGCGAGCTACATAGAACAGGGAGACAGTTGGGAGGGGTGGCAAAAACCCATTGGGAGAAATAAAGGCAGGTGTCAAGACAAAAGACATGGCTCTACAAACCACTCTACCCTCACGCGTCTTGCTCAGTAAAGTAAGGGCCCGTCGCCAGCAGGCGCTGACGGCTGGTTCCGAACGAAAGGCCGCCTAGGCGCTAAAATGGTGCGATGAGTGGGAAAGGCGGGGCGCCGCGACGGCATATTACGTCACTCGAGCTCCAAGCCCAAGAGAGAAGGTATGGCATGGAGTTGGGGCGATACGCACAAACACCTACTGCTGTCCCCCCCCCACAGCATATTTAAAGGCGACCAATGAAATTACTTTACAGTTAGAGCAATATAATTTACACTTCCATTTGACCTGGCTTTCTACAGCGCCACATGAACAAACATATCCTACCGTTGCGCTTATTTAAGGTGTCTTTGATCACGTAAAACCCTCATATATTGACTAGTTTTACCGTCCAGCATGTACTAGAAGCCGCGGGGTATTGTGGGGGCAGTATGTAAAAGACCAGGCAGACGCAGCCCCGCCCCCCGGCGCGGCCGGGCGAGAGGGCGGGGCCGCCGCGGGCCCAGCGCCGGCATCCCTACGTTCCCCGCGGGCGTGGAAGGGCTGTTCTTTCCGGAGTTGCGACTCGCTGGCGTCAGCAGGGCCGTGGAGGCGGAAGATGGCGGCGGCGGCGGCGGCCCTGGGGCCGTGAGGAGCGCGGCGGCGGAGAGGACGGCCGATGGCGGCCGAGAGGCGCCCTCGGGGACCCGCGGGCCGTTAAGGTGCGACGCTGGGCGGCATGTCGGAGCACGCGGCGCCCGGAGCCCCGGGGCCCGGGCCCAACGGCGGCGGCCCTGCCCCCGCGCGCGGGGCCCCGCACCCCCAACCTAAACCCCAACCCGCTCATCAACGTGCGCGACCGGCTCTTCCACGCGCTCTTCTTCAAGATGGCAGTCGCCTACTCGCGGCTCTTCCCGCCCGCCTTCCGCCGTCTCTTCGAGTTCTTCGTGTTTGCTCAAGGTGACCGTGGCCCCGACCCCCGACTCTTGACCAGCGTCCGGATCCACCCCCCCAGACTTGCAACCTCTTCCCCGATCCCGCCCAGGACAGCCCACCCCTTTCACTTGGAGGTCTAGACCGGGTCCGGTCCGTTGGGTACCCTCCCCTTTTGTCTGCTGCCCTAGCTCCTGGCCCCCTTTTCTGACACTTCACCCCCGGAAAGACCCAGGTCTCACCCTGTGGGTGGTACCTGATCCCGACTCCAGGCGCTCCCAGTCCTCTCCAGGCAGCACCCATGCTCGGCCTCACCCTTCCTCCGATGGCCCAATTCCCGGAGGCCTGGAGCCTTGTTCCGACCTGCCTAGGACCCCCTGCCAGCCCTGCTATGCCACGTGGGATCCTCACCTCGGGAAGACACCCCTCACCCCCCATCCTGCCCTCTCTTGCCTGACCTGGCCCAGGTCCCCAACCCTCAAACTGGGAAAGATTCCAGACACACCCCGCTCCCTTAGGACACACCCCAGGACCACCCATCTGCACTAGAAACGCGCCCCCCCTTCCATCTCTTCCTTCTGCATCCCCTTTTCTGGGGTTCTTCCCCTCCTTGGGACCTTCCACCAGTCCCCACCCCACCCCTTCCTCCTCTTAGCCTTACAGGGGAATGTGACCTAGCTGAGGTCACCTCGCCAGGGTTGGTGACAAAGTCACTACTACTCATGTCATAACAAGAGGCTGCACACACACCTCCTTCCCATCCTCCCTCAGGTGGCATAGAGGTTTCAACCATGTGTGCAGCTCAGGAAGGACCGCCGTTGACCGCCAAGAAGGGGGCTGGTCCGCTGGGGGGGGGGGGGGGGGGGGGTGGACAGAGCTCACTGGGCACCAGGGTTCTGGGTCCTTAGTGGAGGGGTGGTTCCAGTTGTTGCTTGACCCAGCTGAGAAAAGGGAGAAACAGGCATTTGGTTTCCCGTCAGAGTACAGCCAGGGAGGGGCTGGGGTGCGGGCATGGCCAAGCCACCTTTGGGTTCTAATGCTAGATGTGGAGGCACTTGGGTTGCTGGCGGGCCCCAGGGCCTGGAGCGCGGGGCTGGGAGCTGAGCATGGAGGCTTCCAGGTGAACTGAGTGCTTCCTGCCACAGCTATGGGTCCCAGGCCCCGCCCCCTGCACTTAACAACTCCCATCACCAGCTTGGTGGTCCCCAGACACCATGTTGGAAAGAAAGGCTGGGGTGCAGGCTGGCTTGTAGGAGGCTCCCCTGGCCTCACCCAGCCCCATCCTCACCTCTCGGAGGCCTCAGCTGTTGTTGTCTTCAGCATCTGTTGAGACCTGAACAACCAGGTGCTACAATGTCTGTATGTACTGAAATCTTAGTGATGCTCTAATCTCCATCCTTCTGTG